TTTTAGGTGCGTGAGAGCAGACGGAGATACTAACACGCATGTGCACTTGTACCCAGGGAAGAAAAGTTAGACTTTATTCCCTGTACAGCGGGAGGAAAACCGAACTTTCGGCGTAGGTAGGAGAAAAAATCATTTTACTGAAGTAAAGCCATAGAGTTGAGTTGGCACCTTAATTCAAAACAACCTTCAAGTTTACTACAACCCGTAGGTAGTTATTTATATACAAAATCATAAAAAAAAATTATTGCCGTTGTAGGCAGACGAGCATACGGCCCATCTGATGGTGAGTGGTTACCGTCGCCCATGGACTTTAGCAGGGGCAGAGCCAAGCCGCTGTCTACCGCTTACCGCTAAATCAAGCAAATCTTAAAAACCTTAGAACCTAGAAACCTTAGAATCTGTGAATAAAGAAGTATTTAGTCTTTGACAATAGAACCATAATTATGTTCAAACTTATAATTACAATTAATTATAGTCGAATCACGACGACTGCGGGACCACTAGTCTTACATAAATTGTCTAAAACGAAAATTACTGGTGGTAGGACCTCTTGTGAGTCCGCGCGGGTAGGTACCACTGCCCTGCCTATTTCTGCCGTGAAGCAGTAATGCGTTTCGGTCTGAAGGGTAGGGCAGCCGTTGTAACTATACTGAGATCTTAAAACTTATATCTCAAGGTGGGTGGCGTATTTACGTCGTAGATGTCTATGGGCTCCAGTAACCACTTAACACCAGGTGGGCTGTGAGCTCGTCCATCCATCTAAGCAATAAAAAAACATCATGGCATAGAAATCATTTTAAGAGAGCTTAAAAATCTTTCTGATGTTTAGTGATTACGAGAGATTGAAATCCATCATGTAATCCATTCAACAGTCTTCTTTTTGTCTCCACCTTACTGCACAAGGCGGGGTCGGCACAGCGAATTTTTTAATCCATGTTCTTCTATCAGGCGTCACTCAACACTCATTCCTCTCTGTCTCATATCGTCATTCACACACTCCATCCATGTCTTCTTCAATCGACCTCTTCCCCTTCTACCTTGCATTTCCATACATTTTCTAGTCACATGAATCTCTTCTCTATGCATCATATGTCCATACGCGGCAACCTGGGCCTCGAATCAATCCGGAAATACATGAAGTCAGCGTCGGAACAGTACTTCGATAAGCTGCGCCATGCGTCATGATGATCGCTTTATCGTTGCCGCCGCTGACTACTCCCCGAATCCTGATCACGCAGGAGCCAGTCACCGTCGACGCCCTAAACACGTCCTTACGGATCCATCAGATCCAATAACCTTTGCATTAGATGTCTTCAGCTCTAACACAAGAGCAGGCTTAAGAACTCCGGTAACCGTACTCGTCGAACTCGACAAAGAGGTCGACGTACAACCTGACCCATGCATTAACCCGCTGAGTTTCTCGTGGGATCTTCTCAGCGGGTCGCGATTCCGCTCCTGTAGTAGATTCATTCGCGAAGCAATTGCTCTTGAGTTGTTAGGTCTCCTTCAGAGGCGCTCGGCAGTTGTTAGCAAATCCCACCCCTCCTGGCTGAGTTTTTGCTCACCCACCTATCCTGGTGAAACTGAAAAGGCCTCCGGGCCACCAGTAATCTATCAATCATAAAACAAAATGTCCACACCACGCTAACAGTCGTAGTTAACTGTCGATTAATCCAGTCAACAGTCTTCGTCCTAAATAACGCTTATATTTCCGAGATTGCTCCTTAAGCCAGACTCGTGGTACCAATGCGAGCAAGTTGACAACTGGCTCTACCGTCAGCAAGCTTGGAACTTGTTTACGATTCGAATCCGTGATAGCGACCTTTAGTCGCGTTTCATTGGGGCTTAGGTTATTTTCTAAAGTCTAGTTCGAACGTGTATCTTGGTTTTCTAAAGTAAGCTCGAAGACTAGGGTACTACGGATGCGTATGGATATTTTGGTATAGTATTCTACACGGGTAGATAAAAGATGTGTGATTTCGTGGGACACATTATAAAAATATTAATTTTAAGTTCTATTCGAGGTATAAAGAAAATAAAACTGGAGGCTTCGCAACAACCCACGGTCATTCGGTAACGTGCGAACTTATTGTGGTACACTTCATTCACTGTTGTTTGCACAAGAGGTAGTGTATTGCGCAAATAAACGTCTCTAAGATCGTGGTCAATGAATGATAAAAAAATATGTCATTTTTTGTACGTTATTACAAAGTTAAGTAGTATTTTTGTCAACAGTCAATTTTATTATTTGCTGCGGTGGAAGGTACTTACTGAAGTCCGACCAACCAGTGATTCCACAAGTTATATTATATTTGTTACGAGTTTGAAAATGGTACCTAATTCATTCGTGAAAACCCGTTAAGTAGGTATTTCATTAGAAAGATTGGTTCCCGCCTGCGGGATTCGAACACCGGTGCATTGCTAGATACGAATGCACCGGGCGTCTTATCCTTTAGGCCACGACGACCTTATCATAATAATAATTATTAGAATAAGTATTATTTCCCTTATTCAAGTTATCCTTTTTTTAAATGCTTTTATTAGCTTCACACACATATATGTTAGTATGTAACGGAATCTTTAAACATGATTTTGACCCCCTTCAAAACGTCGGATTAACTCGAAATTTGGTATACTTACTAAAGACCGATGACAATTCAATATTTAAAAAAAAAATGAATTTTTTTAAATTCAATTCAAAATGAAAAATAAATAATAGTTTAAAAAAACTAACAAAATACGCTTTTATAGAAAATCTAAATAATCTAATAATATATTTTAATAAATTTGAATTAAAAATAGTGTAAGAAAAAAAGATTTTATTGTAAAAAAGCGTGGGGTGCATGGTAGCAGTAGTTATAAATATTTTACGAACAGATATGAGTAGATGGGTTATTTTAATAATATCTTGAAAAGCACCCCACGCTTTTGTACAATAAAATAATTTTTTGTTACACTATTTTTAATTCAAATTTATTAAAATTTATTTTGTATTTTTTTGTTGGATTTTCTATAACAGCGTATTTTGTTAGTTTTTTTTAACTATTATTTATTATGTTTGCCCCTTCAGATTGGTGAACGAATCCACTCGATTATATGTTTATCTGAGTCCACCGGTGCTTGAGTCAGGAGTCGCAATCCTGCTACAGTTGTCCTGCGCTTCTAACAGGAACGCATTACTGCTTCGCCTGTGTTATTACTGGTAGTAGGACGCGTTGTGAATCTGCACGGATAGGTACCACCACCCTGCCTATTTCTGCCGCGGTTGGCAGCTTAGCACCAGGTGGCCCGTGAGCTCGTCCACCTATCTAAAGCAATAAAAACAGTTTTAGTTCTACGTTACTGCTTCCTTAGAGAATAGTCGTTGGAATTATAAACCGGTATTATCACAGCGCTCGATACGATATAGAGGTCGTATTATAGGCGACTTGAATATATTTTTGCGACATCCAAAGGGATTTGATATTCAATTTTTATTTGTAAAACTGGTGAAATTATAATGGTCAACTCTCTCCGTGGAGATCAAGGTCAGTAACATCTATAAATATTTAATATTATTCATATTTAATATTCAGATAGTGGAAACGAACATTTGAATTAGGGCCGCGATCTTTCTTTTATATTCGCGATGCTGTATGTGCTAATTCTTCTCATCTGATACTTATCGTGAAGCAGTAACGCGTTTCGGTTTGAAGGGTGGGGCAGCCGTTGTAACTATACTAAGACCCTTAGAACTTATATCTCAAGGTGGGTGGTGCATTTACGTTGTAGATGTCTATGGGCTCCAGTATCAACTTAACACCAGGTGGGCTGTGAGCTCGTCCACTCTTCTAAACAATAAAAAAAATGAGGTTTCTATGATAGTCATATCTGATATGGAAAGTGCTCTGGGGAATTGTTCGAGGTGATCCCTCCATCTCTTTTCTTCATCCATTACACCTCCCACCATCGGAGCAGAGTTCATCCACATTATCTAGAACCGCTGTCTTTATCTACATATCTTGGACTTGGACTTTATCAGGACATGGTCGTGCCCATAACATTACTGACGTCTATGTGTGACGGTAATCACTTACCATCAGATGGGCCGTATGCTCGTCTGCTTGCGAAGGCAACAAAAAATCAGTGGCTATTATGATTTTGCGTATGTGGTGTCTGTATCTCGTCTCTTCCCGTGGTTATTGAAGGAGTCCAGGATATTCTCCGGCGATTGAGTGGAAACGTCCTATGAGTATTATACCAGAATTATGTGGTCGCCAATCCGTATCAACGACTCGAAGGATCAGGTCTCATTCAGGATCATTCTCCTGTTGTCAGAACTAATAATAAGTTGGTATTAAATGGTAGTAAATGTGTAATATTTGGGTATTAAATGGTAGTAAATTGGTAGTATCATCATCATTATCCTGCCCTGCTCCCAGTCAATTGGAGTCGGCGCAACATGTTTGCTCCTTCCATACTCTTCTATCATATACCATTTCTTCGCTCACTGCCCTCCTACCCATATCGTTTTTCACACAATCCTTCCATTTCTTCTTAGTTCTACCTCTTCCTTTACATCCTTCCACATTCATAGTTAACACTCTCTTAACAACCTAGTAGTAAATGTGTAATAATGTAAGGTCTTCATGTAATGTTATATATAGTTTTTTTTTGTTTTTTTTTTTTATATAATGAACCGCTTTTTTTTCAATGTATGCAGTCGGTACCTGTAATTGTTTTAGCATTTAGTGTGAAATCAATGTATATGATACCTGTAACCTTCTGTGCTGATGTATAGCATGTTGGTACCCAATAAATAAAATAAAATAATACAAATATGAATTAAAAACAACCCACAAATAAGCATAGTGCCTTTGTACATAATTTTCCTATTACTCTATACTGTGTCTTGTTTTCTGTGTGTACATAAATAAATAAATAAATAAAAAATACTTTAATCAAACACGGCTGTAATAGAACACGGACTCTATGTTACAGTAGACAAGGTCACTTATCATCTAACCATTGAAGCGTTCAAATGATGTTTAATAACACGACAATTACGTTCAGAATTATCCATGTCTTGTGAGAGTGAACAATGTTTTTTTTCTCCGTCAACTTAATTCTAACTTGAAATATAACTAAAACACATATTTTCCTATTAAAGACAACGAATATTTTTACCAAAAAATAATTTCTATTTAGCATTTTTTTTTTTAGGTATACAATAAAAACGGTCAGTGAAATCATTTAGATAGAGGGGAGAAAGATTTATAAAACCGGCCACGCGAGATGAAATGCGGTCCAATCTCACACAGCCTCTCGTCGGTTTAATATCTAGAACATTAACATTATAGGAAAACATGAAGTTTTATATGTTGATCGCGCTGTTCGCTTTAGCGTGTGCTGAACGAGATAGCACCTTGGAAACGGCCATTAGCTTCGTCCAGGACTGCAATGAGGACTACTTTTTATGTGTCAAGGTAACGTGAATTTAGATAAGATAATTTTTTTTCCCGACAACTATTAGGCCCGATACTGATCGATGGAGCCCGTAGTCACCAACGAATTCAATCGCGTTCAATTGTACTATTACAATTGCGAGTTCAATCAATTAGCCGTTCTCGTTAAGAGGTGTGACAAGATGCGATGTTTTTATTGAAATTGACCGTGCCCGATCATAAATACGAGAGAGCTAAACAAAATAACGCTAAAGAGGAGCATTTTTTTTTTATTTTTTTTTTTATTGCTAGATGGGTGGACGAGCTCACAGCCCACCTGGTGTTAAGTGGTTACTGCAGCCCATAGAAATTTACGACGTAAATGCGCCACCCACCTTGAGATATAAGTTCTAAGGTCTCAAGTATAGTTACAACGGCTGCCCCACCCTTCAAACCGAAACGCATTACTGCTTCACGGCAGAAATAGGCAGGGCGGTGGTACCTACCCGTCCGGACTCACAAGAAGTCCTACCACCAGTAAAAGGCATTGTAAGGTTATTTTTATATTTTCTTCTTTTCCAGGAGAAACTCCTTCGTATTGTGGAAAATGCTAGAACATCGAGGAGCGTCAATCTTGTCGATGGTGTCTTTATCAAGGGTGAACCCGGGAAGCCATCAACGGAGCCTCTCCCCGCCGACCCTGAGGCCAGAGACGCAGAAGTCAACTACAGACTCCTGGACGGAGTTGTCAACCTCTTCGAAACTCACTCCATCGAGGTCAAAATGAATCCTGCTGAGAAGGAAGAACTTCAGAGGTCACTCGAAGAAGGTATTGTTTACTATTTTTTTATTTATTTTTTATTGCTTAGCTGGGTGGACGAGCTCACAGCTCACCTGGTGTTAAGTGGTTACAGGAGCCCATAGACATTTACAATGCAAATGCGCCACCCACCTTGAGATATAAGTTGTAAGATCTCAGTATAGTTACAACGGCTGCCCCACCTATCAAGCCGAAACGCATTACTGCTTCACGGCAGAAATAGGCGCGGTGGTGGTACCTACCCGTGCGGACTTACATGAGGTCCTACCACCATTTGGTTTTATTGGCTTCGTTGAGAGGACGTACTCATGACTCGTTGGCTAAGAGGCTGCATGAACGTCAATTGCATCAGAACAGCAGCTGGTATAAATAATAAGGCCGTAGTCTAAGCTATTACTAAAACTTAGCTTAGTAATTAGCTTAATAAATTGAAAATGTGGGAAGACATAGAATTATTATTACTGCAGATCGGAAGTAGTGAATGACTCTACAATATTCTTAAGCACGTCAACTTAACTACATGTAAAAAGAATTTATACATCTTTACGCAAAGAAAAGATCTTCAAATGGGCATACGCTATTCCTTACTGGACCAATGCTTGAATCTTCCAAATTGAGATTATTGATTTTCAATGAAATTGTCATTAATGCGATTTAGTTTTTTTTTTTATTTCCTCTATTCGATAATAGAGACAGCCGCAGTATTCTAAAAAGTTACTAACCGCTTATATAGCAAGAAAGAAAGAGAAAGAATACGGTTTTTAATGAAATTCGTACGCGTTTATTAATAGCAGACTTAGAACCTGACGTCACAGTTTAAGTTTCTAACTAAACGGCTTGGGTACGCTACGGTGCACCAAAATTTGTTTTTAATGTAACGTGTACCGGACACACAAGAAGAAGAAGACGAAAAAGAATAATAATATAACTCTTTATTTAACACCACATGTACAGAGCAAGCATAAAAACCAAATAAGAGACGGTGACATAAATTGGCGGCCTTATCGCTGAAAGCGATCTCTTCCAGGCAACCTTGCAGGGAGAGGAATAAGCAAACTGGACGGTGTTATATCTTAATAAGCTTACATAAAAATATATACTCATGTGAAAAATAAATACAACATAAGATAGACTTACATACGATTAAATACAAATAAATACTAAAAATATGCAAGTAAATACAAAATAAAAACCGCCAGAGCTCGACATATAGAAGCCGGAATGTCTTTAACAAGATATTTCCTTGGTCCGAGTATCGAAACCTGTGGTTTTTTTTTGTAATTGCATAAATGGGTGGACGAGCTCACAGCCCACCTGGTGCTAAATGGTTACTGAAGCCCATAGACATCTACGACGTAAATGCGCCACCCAACTTGAAATATAAGTTCTAAGGTCTGAAGTATAGTTACTACGGCTGCCCCACCCTTCATACCGAAACGCATTGGTGGCATAGGCAGGGTGGTGGACTGGTGGTACCTACTCGTGCGAACTCACAAGAGTTCCTGCCACCAGTAATTACGCAAACTATAATTTTGCGAATTTGATTTTTATTATACGATGTTATTCCTTCACCGTGGAAGTCAATCGTGAACATTTGTTGAGTACGTATTTCATTAGAATAATATCTTAAAATCATCATACATTTTTAGGAAAAGCGTCTTAAGAGAAATCCAATAATTCCAAACTCGATTACTTTGCTGATAACTATGTCAGGATTCCATTACTGTCTTCAACCTTCTTCATCAGATCACCTCGTTGGCACCATATTATAAATTATGTATGCTACTGCATTTATTTTCATTACCGTTTTGTTGGTTTTTAAGACAATTTTACTCAGAATAATATGTTGTTTGCAACAAGAAAAAAATTGTATGAATTAATCTTATAAGTTTGTCTTCACTTTTATCTTATCAACATTTACCTTAAAAACGTACGAAAACTGCCAAAAACCAACTGAAACTTGACGAACTTAGTTAAAATCATAAGAAATAATATTATTTCGATAAATAATTTAATAAATGTAATGTAATAGACTAAATACCCAATATTCTTAACATTTGAGTCAATAATTCTGACTGCTCACCTATTGTTACTGTATTTCTAAATTATCCAACATTTAAAAAATTATATCTTCTTCTTCTTAACTTTTTTCTTAACTTAATTTCTAATTTAACTTAATGTAAAAAAATATTTGTATAATTTCACAAAATTTATACAAAACTTTCACGCCACATTCTTGTTTTAACAAAACCAGTTCAGCAAAACCACTTTCGAGTTAATATAATGTTTGTGGAGTATAGACCAGGGCAAACTCTCACTTATTAAAATTCCAATCAATAAACTGATCAGAAGATGTGAGTGTGTAGACAACGGGTTAGAATGATCCGTGGTCAAGAGACAACTGATACAAGGTTTCAAGTTTCCCCATTAAGCTTAAGATTAAACATTGGCATTGCTAAAGTCCATGGGCGACGGTAACCACTCACCATCAGGTGGGCCGTATGCTCGTCTGCCTACAAGGGCAATAAAATAAGACCGCGAATCTCAGTACTGTTGAAAATTTTGTTCAATAACTTGAAGGGTTAACTTGTTTCATGGGAAAAGCACATGCTAGGCAAATACAACCGGACCGTGAATACTGCTTTTACTTAATAAAGCTACTGAAGCCGATGGGAAATCGAACCCCGATCCCATGGTACAGTAGCCGTCACCAACCGCAAGTCTAATGAGGCTTTTAGATGAAACACGCTTATTTGTGAACGAGAAATCTTTATTGTGGTCCTTGGACAAGTCTACAAATAACCAAACACATAAACACAATCCACCATCACCAGGTAATATAATCGCGAAATAAAACACTAAAACTAGTCTTAAATAAAAACCTAACTTAACATACAAAAATTTACAAAATTCCATTATGTGCTTAAAAGAAAGAAAAAAGTATTTTTATGTATTACAAATACTTTTTTTTTATTTTTTTTTATTTTTTTATTGCTTAGATGTGTGGATGAGCTCACAGCCCACCTGGTGTTAAGTGGTTACTGGAGCCCACAGACATCTACAACGTAAATGCACCACACACCTTGAGATATAAGTTCTAAGGTCTCAGTATAGTTACAACGGCTACCCCACCCTTCAAACCGAAACGCATTACTGCTTCACGGCAGAAATAGGCGGGGCGGTGGTACCTACCCGTGTGGACTCACAAGAGGTCCTACCACCAGTAACAATTACGGCAGAATATTGTAAAAAAGACAAAAAAGAACAGAAATAAATTAATTAAATGCAACGGCAAAGAGAATGGCTATGTTTAATAAGCGCGCAATGGACGCGCATACCAAACAGCGCTGATTTCTGGATACCCCGGATGCTCATTGCAGCCTGCAAGCATTCAAGTCGAGATCAGTAAAGCGTAGTCGAAAGATGATATGCGTTGCGTGCTTAAGAGATATCACAGTATGCTCTAAAAACCATAGCAAATGAACATGCACTAATTAAAAAGTGCTTAATTAATTGTTACTATATGAACATTTTTACTTTTTAACAGATTTTATTAAATTCCGATTTTTCAGAGATGATTATGATTACAAGTAGGGCCCAGATTAGATTTGGAGTTAGGCAGAACTCAGAAGGGATTATTTTAAGGCATATTACGAACCCGCTGGGGCGGGTAGGTAGGTAACGGTAGGCAGCGGCTTAGCCCTAACCCTGGTATTGCTAACGTCTATTGGCAACGGTAACCACCCACCATCAGGTGGACCGTATGCTCGTCTGCCTATAAGGGCAATAAAGAAAACAAAAAAAGGCCACCACCCTGACCATTTCAACCGCTAAGCAGCATATTATAACCAAATTTCTTTTTTGAAATATTCTTCCTAAAGTGCTCTTTTAAGTTTGTTAAGAGATGCCTAAAATAATCTGATTCAATTTAAATCACAAGGGAAGTTTTTGTAATAAAGTTTCAAAAGAAATTTGCTTGGATGTTGATTATGACATTTAAGCTTTGCATAAAGAATCAGGTAGACTATGAGGTCATCAGTTCAATCAATTGAACTATTTATAATTTCACAGGTCGTGGTAAGAAGAAGGGAGGCGGCGCTATGGGCATCATCGGACTCCTAGCAGCCAAGATACTATTCGGAAAGCTGTTCATCGTCAAACTCCTAGCCCTCAAAGCATTAGCCACAGCGAAGATCGCCCTAGTACTAGCCGTTATTCTCTTCGTGGCCTGGTGCTTGAAACAAGATCATACCAAGACAACGTACGAGGTTGTACCCCACGCCTTGCATCACGAGAGCCATCACCCTCATGTGGAGCATGTCGCCCATGACGCGGGCCACGGCGGGTTCTCTGGATACGGTTCTGACTGGAGCAAGAACTCTGAGGACGCCCAGAATTTAGCATACAGTGGCTATACGCAGAAACACTAGGGATTAATTACCAAATGTAGCTTAAGTATTGTACAAAGAATTATTTATTTTGTAGTTTATAAGTTTAATTTATTGATTAAATTATGTAATATTTTATGAAACTTGTTTATTTGTACCCGGTGAAAAATAATGATATTTGTTTTTATCTGTCCGCAATGTAACATGTCAGCAGATTTTCGGGATCAACGCTTTTGCCTAATTTGGTGACTTCTTCTCAGTCGGACACTCTTGTCAGAGTGGTCGTGGTTACGTTGACGCTGTATGTGCAGTAGGACCTGTTAGGTCGCCCATGCTCCTGACAACCGCCCTCCAGGCAATGCGCTTCCAGGTCTGGCGGTTCGAAGCGTTACGAGTACATTCGACAATAGTGGACTCAGTTACCTTCTTTATTAGGTCAGTCCAGCGGGTCGGTGAGCGGCCGCATGATCATCTGCCTTGCACCCAACCCTGGACTACCAGTCTCTCCATCGAGTGCTCTTTTTTGTAGATGTGACCAAAGAATTTAAAAACCTTCAGTTTCACTGTTGGCGAAAGTTGGTCTTTGATACCGAGTTCTTTGAGGATGGATGCATTGGTGCGGAATGCCATCCATGGGATCTTTAGGAGGCGTCTCCAGCACCACATCTCCAGTGCATCGATTTTACGGCGATCCTGTAATCTTAGAGACCCTAGCCATAGATTAGGGGTCACAAAATGAGGTTCGTGAGTGCTAATAGGTACTCTCATTAATGTTCTCGTCGAGATGCTGAAGATCCTTTGAAACGCTTTTGATACACCCTGGAGTTTCTTCCAGAACCGATTCCTAGATAGAAAAAATTAGATACCTAATTAATGCATTCTGATAAAATTTCTCAAGTCTAGTGATGTATATAGATACCGGTAGATTTCCACAAGATGCCCAGCTGAGTACGTCGCTTGCTAAAACAATATATGAGGCCTTATCAACACTAGAATGCGGACATATTGATATGTTTTTACCCCTAGGAAGATCGAAAGGTATTGATGTGTTACCTCAACCTGAGTCGGTGTCAGGACTGCGATTAGTTATTTTCTGCTTAGTTCATTAGGAGAGGCTTAAATCCAGTAGTGGAGAGATACAGGCTGATGATGAAGATGATGATGACGATAGCTCGCGTCAGCGTACTGATAGGTGAGACGCCCTAAATTCCCGTTCAATGATCGGATCGACTAAGATTGGATCGACTATTTATGTTTATAAAATGATCAATTGTTTCCACGACGAGTCGCTTTTGGTGTAAGTATATTAGGCTCGACGTCTTGAGCAATGGTACAAAAAAGGACTCTCAGTCTAGTAGCTCAAGGTGTACAGTGGCTTTCATAATATTATGTATCTGATCGCCCACACTAACAGTGTAGTGCTGTGGGCTCATCTGCCATTTAAATTTTTTTAATTTTTTTTTGTTGCTTAGTTGGGTGGACGAGCTCACAGCCCACCTGGTGTTAAGTAGTTACTGGAATCCATAAACATCTTTTCTTTTTTTTTTTTATTGCCTTTGTAGGCAGACGGGCATACGGCCCACCTGATGGTGAGTGGTTACCGTCGCCCATGGACTTCAGCAATGCCAGGGGCAGAGCCAAGCCGCTGCCTACCAAATCTACAACTTAAATGCGCTACCCACCTTGTGATATAGGCAGGGCGGTGGTACCCTACCCGCACGGACTCACAAGAGGTCCTACCACCAGTCAAATCAATAATAAGCAATTTCTTTGAAAACATCAAACATGTTTAGCTGTTCCAAATAAATAATCTACTTTGAAACGTCGCGAGCTCATAGGTACGCAGCTGGTAATACGCACTTGTATTCCGATCGTCATTTTCTGGTCAGTTTAACAATGAGGACGTTTGAGAGTTGTCGGCCCAGTTCTCAGAGCTCTTAGACTAATTGCTTGAGTTTTATTGACATCGTTATTCAGATTCATTTTCCCTTATCTATTAGCTGGTAGCCTGATAGGCTATTTATTGCAGTTACGTGTAGACGCGTAGGTGAGCTCACGGGCCCAATCTGAGTGAATTGGATAACAATAGCTCCAGCAAGAACAGTGCTTCGCAGAATCTACTGGTGCGAAGATCAGGCGAGAAACACGACGGGCTGTATCTATGGGTTAGTTCACTCGCTGAATTCTTCGTATTTTTTTGAAATTATACTTCTTTAGGCGCGTTATGAAAAATTGATGAGAGTGAAATTTTACGATGCGCGCGCACCGTGACACAAAATTAACAGAAATGAAGTTGCCCACTAAATCGCTCATTACAATACGACCGACGTAACTTGGTGAGTCTGAATATAGCCGCAGGTGAACTTTCCGAACCGTACCGAGAATCACCGAATTTATACGATGTCCAGAAAAGGGATGTCCAATATGCGTGTTTGAGGATGTTGTTTAATCGATTTTTTTTCAAATTGATTAAAATTTAAATAAAAAAAGGAAATAAATTTAATAAAAATAAAGTATAACTTCTTACGCGCGTACATACGTACACGCACCCTTTTTCCCCTACCTAAGCTGATAGCCTTGAGAGGCTATTTCAGCGTAACCCTAGCTAGTAGGTGAACTCAGGGGGCTCAAGCCGGAGTGATGCTAACACTGATCCCTAGCAAGAGCAGTGCTTCGCAGAATCTACCACCGGATCGGAAACGCGACCTACTGAGAAGATCCGGTAAGAAACTCAGTGGGCTGTGTCTGTGGGTTAATTCGCTTGTAGAGCCCTTCGTCACAAGCGACGGGTTACTATATTTTATATATAGTACGGTCAACCTATTGGGGAGTGATCATGCCTTTCGCGTCATACATTTCGGTTAGGAGTGTAAAATAGTTGTTCATAAAATAGTTCAATATAGTTCATTGTAATGTCTCAACACCTTCGAAATCAAACGAACATAATATGTGAGTGGTCATAGTCTAACCATGCATTTCCATGTTCAAAATTTGTGTGATAAAAGATAGGTCACAGCGCGTGGTAAACACCTGGGGTTCCTGCTAGAATGAAGTAGTTCATAGCAAACATAGCTCCTTGAAATTTACTCTAAGTGGACATCGACAATATCAGGAGTAAAACCCAGCCTCTACCTTTCGCTCCCCTCAACGGTTTCATGAAAATCGCTATAGCCATAGCCTGAACGTGAAAAAATAAACTGATCTTAACAACTTACAGCAGAGATTCCAAGTTTATTTTAAACTGAGCATTAATTTATGATTAGTTTTCCGAAATAAAGATTACGTCTACGAAAACCGCGATTGCTTAAAATAGCTGACACTTGTATTACTTAGGCGAAGTCCAGAACTTTTTTATATTGCTTAGATGGGTGGACGAGCTCACAGTGCACCTGGTGTTAAGTGGTTACTGGAGCCCATAGACATCTACTACGTAAATGCGCCACCCATCTTGAGATATAAGGTCTAAGGTCTCAGTATAGTTACAAAGAAATAGGCAGGGCGGTGGTACCTACCCGCGCGGACTCACAACAGGTCCTACCACCAGTAATTCCAAACTTACTTTAAGCTGAGCATTAATTTATGATTAGTTTTCCTAAATAAAGATTATGTCTACAAAAACCTCGATTGCATAGAATAACTGACGCTTGTATTACTTAGGCGAAGTCCAGAAATTTGAACAGCAGTAAAATCGCATTAAAGATTTAAGTTCCACTTACCCAGTAATCATAGTATAAGGCTTAATGAAACTGGATGATCAAACTAGAAACTGCTCTCATAGAAAGTAGAGACTTGTATCACAACCTGTTCTCAAACTAAGAGCTTGCAGCTTTATTACATACAAGAGGTCCCGCAGTAGTCGAAATTCGACTATAATTAATTGGAATTGTAAGTTTGTACACTATTATGATTGTATTTTATACTTCTTTAATCACAAATTTCGCCAAGACAAACAATATTTAATCTATTCTCAATTTGACCACAGACGTCAAGAACAAAAGTTTGACAATAAATAGTATGCATGCGTGTGTGCGTCAAATACATGGTATGTAGTGTGTGTAATGTTTTCTTTATTGATTTAAGGTATCTTTTATGAATTATTTTAAAAATATATTATCATTGTGCACTTCTTCTCTATATTTTCTATAAGTGTGGAAAATTTCATACTCCTCCGTCCGCGAAATTTTCGTAAAAAGGGATACAAAGTTTTTGCTTCACATATTTATTATATAGATGTTATGAGACGCAGTTCGGTGGATTGATGTATTTAGGAGAGAACAGAACGTACCTACTAACATCATACCAGCATGTGTATCTTAAGTATGTACTGGTGCTAGGACCTCTTGTGGGTCCGCACGGTTAGGTATCACCACCCTGCCTATTTCTGCCATGAAGCAGCAATGTGTTTCTGTTTGAAGGGTGGGGCAGCCGTTGTAGCTATAGGTTTTAATTAACCAGAGGTGCTAAGTGGCCTCACTTGCTTTAAATTTGTAATCCAGAATCAATAATGAAATACGTAGAGTATTCACTGGTAGAAAAGTCTTTCACAAGCTTGTTTGAGTTTTTAACACCGTTGCAAGATCACAGCTAAGATCTCAGCTCTAGCACTGAAGTGTGAATGCCCTCTAATATGCTTCTCTCGATATGTTGTTATAAAGGCTACTTTATGTTCCTACTATGTAAATTTAATGCACGAATATCGCACAGAAATGATAATGTTTAGTGCATCATTCCTACCTCTTCGTCTACATTGACAGAAACATTCCACCGTCCGCTGTCGGCACTACAAACAAACATGTGTAAATACACTATTAGTATATTAGTTTAGAAATCAGAAGATTTCTTACGGTGTGCTTCATTGTAATTGTTGCGTAATTAGAAGAAGCGTGGGTACCTGATAATACACAGGTCAGTACCATAGTTTGTTATATGTTTGATGACAAGTTCAATCTAAGTTAAATAGATCCACTTAATAAATATAAAGTTAATACTTTCCCTGGCGGACGCTGTTCCGGCTGTTAGGTCGTTAAACTACAAAGAATATTTGCTTAGATGTTAAGCGATATGACTG